TTACGTCACTACTGCATGACCAGTGACTAATGTTTAGCAATGAGAACGTTTAAGGGCCATAAACTGAACAGGAGAATACTTCTCAACTTTATTAATGATAAATAATCATAGAAATATTGAGGAAACATAAACTCAAATACCATTCTGAGTACAGGCAACAGATCCTACATTTAATCATCTTCAACAATGCAAAAAAAAAACAACTTGAAAAATAAAGAAAAACATTGCAATATCAGAGAAATACTAGTTCCGATTTGACCTTGAGTACAGGTAACATCTCACTGAATCTGAGCTTACATTTCCTTGCCTTCAATCATCAAAATAAATGATTTTCCCTGTATAGGCCTATTTGTACTCTGTAATCATGTAATAGGTTATATAGAAACGAAAGATTCTTCTCTTTTGTTGGTACAGCACTATTTTGGGCATTACTGTCACCTTCTTTAGAGGCTCTATGATGTCACCCCCTAAATGGTGTCTCCCGGGGTGGCCCCCCCCCGCCCCCCCCAACGACGCCACTGAATAACAGAGCTGCTGAGAGGGACCAGTGTATCTGAAACACGAAGGAAGGCACTGGTCAGAGAAATAGCAAATATCAAACTTAAGTTTAAGGAATCTTACGGGAGACAAGAATCTCAGGAAGAACTAAAAGCCATAAAGGAAATTGAAAAAAAAATTGCTTCTTCTCTTATGCCAAATCTTAAGGTAAAAACAACATCCAGTATAGGGCCTCTGCTTAGGCGAGATGGGACTTAGATGACAACAAAGAAATGAGTGAGATACTAAAGTCCCAATGTGACTCAGTGTTCAGTAAGCCATTAAGCAGACTAAGGGTCGACAATCTAAATGAATTCTTTACGAACGAGACCCAAGATTTGGTCATCTCAGAAATCTTGTGGTGTTATGATATTATCCTAACAACACAGACATAGCCCCACTCTACGAAGGTGGCAGTAAAGCAGTTGCAAAGAACTACGGACCGATAGCACTAACATCCCATATCATAAAAATCTTTGAAAGGGTTCTAAAAAGCAAGATAGCTAACTACCTCGATACCCATCAGTTACACAACCCAGGGCAACACGGGTTTAGAGCAGGTCGCTCCTGCCTGTCCCAGCTACTGGACCACTATGACAAGGTCCTGGATGCTGTAGAGGATAAACAAAATGCAGATGTAGCATACACAGACTTTGCAAAAGCCTTCAACAGGTGCGACCACGATATAATAGCACACAAAATGTGTGATTCAGGAATAACAGGAAAAGTTGGTAGATGGATCTATAACTTCCTAACAAACAGAACACAGAGAGTAATAGTAAACAAAGTAAAGTCTGAGGCAGCTATGGGAAAAAGCTGTTCCACAAGGCACAGTACTTGCTCCCATCCTCATCCCCATATCTGACATAGACAGAGATGTAAGCCATAGCTCTGTGTCTTCCTTTGTGGATGACACCCGGATTGTCATGACAATGACCACCATCGAAGACACTGCAAGACTCCAAGTGGACATCAACCAAATCATGGGCCATTCAAAACAATATGAAGTTCAATGAAGAGAAATTTCAATTACTACTCATTTATGGAAAAACTTGAGGAAATTAAAACTATCAGGTTGTACGACAAATTCTAACCATATAGTTGAGCAAAAAAGTAATACGAAGAATCTGAGAGTGATAATGTCTGAGGATCTCGCCTTCAAGGACCACAACAATGTATCTACCTCATCTGCTAGAAAAATGATAGGATGGATAATGAGAACCTTCAAAACTAGGGGCCCCAAGCCCCTGATGCTTCTCTTCAAGTCACTTGTTCTCTCTAGGTTGGAATACTGCTGTGCATTAATGGCCCCCTTCAAGGCTGGCAAAATTGCTGACCTTGAGAGTGTACAGAGAAATTTCGTGGCACACATAAGTACGATAAAGCCCCTGAATTACTGGGTAAATAAGTAAGTAAGTTTATTCAGGTATACACAGATACAGTTACATAGAATTATCATACATAGCAGCATATGTGTAGAGAACCTGGGATAACCCAAAAAGTCAGACAGAGTGACTTATTTCCATTGGGAACAGTTGAAGGCCCTTTATTTATATTCCCTGGAATGCAGGCGAGAGAGATACATGAAAATATACACTTGGAAAATTCTAGAGGGATTAATACCAAACTTGCTCATAAAAATCACTCCTTATGAAAGCAAAAGACTTGGTAGGAGATGCAACATTCTCCCAATGAAAAGCAGGGATGCCACGAGTACACTGGGAGACAACACAATAAGTGTCAGGGGACCAAGACTGTTTAACTGCCTCCCAGCATACATAAGGGAGGTTACCAATAGATCCCTGGCTGTCTTCAAGAAGGCACTGGACAGGTACCGAAAGTCATTACACCTGACCAACCAGGCTGTGGTTCGTATGTCATTTGCGTGCGGCCAGCAATAACAGCCTGGTTGATCAGACTGATCCACCACAATGCCTGGTCTCAGACCGGGTCATGAGGGTGTTGACTCTTGAAACCCTCTCCAGGTATACTCCAGGTGTTGTTGTAAATACAACAGTACTTACTGTGACTAGGGACAGCAAAATGGAGAGGCAGTGTAGTTTGAGATACATGTCCATTGTTCAATAATAACTGTTAAGAGGAAGTCTCCAGAGTGATATGCACTCACAGCTGTGAGCCTGGCAGTCTCCATGTTGGATGTTGTGGGCATGAGCATGTCTTTACGTACCTCTTCTGTAATGAGGTTATCCTAGTCCCATTACAATTGGTGCTGAAGTCTCGAGAGTATCCTGGGTATACCTTGAGGGTGTATACTACCTGGATACCTGTCAGTATCCAGTCAATGCTTCCAGTGAAAGTGTGGTTACACACTCACACTAAATCATTCTGGTACTCTGGTAGAATTTACTAGTTCATTTGATGCTGTGGAGGAGACAAGAAGACTGGCAAGTTATTTGGAAGGCTGTACCTGTTCCCAGTTCACTTGGTCTGACTGGATGCTTGTTGTGCACTCATTGTCATCAGGGAAAGACTTAGGAGATTTTCTAATGCAGATTTTTAAAGGGTATCATATTCTTTAATCACACTGAGATGCAATAAAATTCTTAGTGCTCTTGTGATCTCAGAATTACATTCTCGTGAAATGCCATACTGTTCTCAGTTTCGCTTCTTATGACCAGAGTCTTTGGTAAGATGGGTAAGGAAGAAGGATGGGTAAGAATAGAAATATTGGAAAAGGGTGGGAGGGGGGAGTGAGGTAGGATATAAAAGGGTGGGAGGGGGGAGTGAGGTAGGATATAAAAGGGTGGGAGGGGGGAGTGAGGTAGGATATAAAAGGGTGGGAGGGGGGAGTGAGGATATAAAAGGGTGGGAGGGGGGAGTGAGGTAGGATATAAAAGGGTGGGAGGAGGGAGTGAGGTAGGATATAAAAGGGTGGGAGGGGGAGTGAGGTAGGATATAAAAGGGTGAGAGGGGGGAGTGAGGTAGGATATAAAAGGGTGGGAGGGGAGGAGGATATAAAGGTGGAGGGGGAGTGAGAGGAGGTTAGGATATAAAGGGTGGGAGGGGGGAGTGAGGTAGGATATAAAAGGGTGGGAGGGGGAGAGTGAGGATATAAAAGGGTGGGAGGGGGGAGTGAGGTAGGATATAAAAGGGTGGGAGGGGGGAGTGAGGTATAGGGGGGGGTGGTAGGATATAAAAGGGTGGGAGGGGGAGTGAGGTAGGATATAAAAGGGTGGGAGGGGGGAGTGAGGTAGGATATAAAAGGGTGGGAGGGGGAGTGAGGTAGGATATAAAAGGGTGAGGAGGGAGTGGGTAGTGTAGGTAGGAGTATAATAAAGTGAAGGGGGAGTGAGTGGAATAAAAGGGTGGAGGGTGAATGAGGTAGGATATAAAAGAAATCCAACCCTTGGTGAATTAAAAAGTGTATGTGAATATTAGAATATTCTTGAAAGGGTATAATACTAACCATCAGAAGTCACGTAGATATAACAGATATATATACATGACTCTAATTATGGTATTAGATATACAAGTAATCGCTTTTTTTTTTTTTCAGTTAATGACCGTAATTGGAATAATCAGTTACTGATACCTTTATTATGGTTACATGTGCATCATTAAATATGACTTTGTTTCTGTTTATGTTAATAATATATTTAATAAATAATAAAAAATCATTATTTCTGACAAGTACTGTACATTCGAATAATTCTATTAGACCATGACGACTATCATTGACATACTACTATATAAAAAGCCCCTTGGTATGCAGAGTATTTAGAGCAAATTAGGTCAGTTTTGTCCCAGGATGCGACCCACACCAGTCAACTAACACCAAGGTACCTATTTTACTGCTAGGTGAACATGGACAGCAGATGTCTTAAGGAAATATGTCCTAATGTTTCCACCCATACCAGGAATCGAACCTTGTTGTATTGGCTAGAGTTAATTATGTTGCTGAATCAAGAAGCTGAGATTAATCTGTTGAACATTTGTGTCAAGAAATGTTCATTGACTGGTCTTGTGATGTACACTGTTTCTCTTGGTAAATATAAATTTGTTGGCTAAGAATGTGGAACATTTAATAAGGCATCCTCCCTTAACCTAAAAAAAAACTAGGGAAGAACCATAGTAATGCTTACATATAACACTACAGTAATATTTTATTGTTCTTCATATATTCTTTGGTATACACTTACATATAGAGCTGTTTTATTGAAAGAACCAAAAGGCACAATCCAGTGACTGGAATATACAAATAACCTGCACATGGGAGAGAGGAATTCATGACGATGTTTCGGTCTGACTTGGACCATTTACAAGACTGGTCTACGTCTGACCGAGACGTCGTCATAAGCTTGTCTCTCCTATGTGCGGGTTATTTGTGTATTGAAAATGTATTAGGAAAGCAAGTATTTAACCTATTTCCTTCATTCACTTACATGTAGAGTACAGTTATTTTATTAAGGGAGTGAAGAATGAGTAACTATTATGTATTTCAGGTCACCCAGTGCACAGTGTGGCATACAACGGCATCAACGGCATCATCTACAACAGTACCATCCTGGCCACAGGCTGCTTCTCTGCCAGAGAACTATGGAGACTCTCCAAAAGTGAGTCCGATCTCGAAGCCTCTTACTCCAGGGTGGAAGAGAGAGATGATGATGATGATGATGGACGCAGAGATAGGTGGATAGAGAGAGAGAGAGGTGAGGGGTGAGCAGGGAAATGCCGAGCCTTGGATAATGTATGTTACAAGCTTTTTGGCATCATTTGTTAAACTATTGCTATATTTGATTATCTTCATTTATATTTCAATATATCTGACTATTGCATTTTGTACAGCAACTTAATTTTTTGGCACACGTCAGGGCTGTCAACAGATTTTGATGCGAGATTAGCCAACTTGCCACCCATCATTGTGTGTATATAAGAATATAATCATTATTGAAAGCCTGAATCTCTTTACCAAAGGTAAAAGCAGTTTTAGAATGACTATTCACATAGAATTATTTCATATTCTGCAGACCTTCAAGTCATTATTGTAACACTAATTGAATTGCTAAACAACCTGTGCATTGAAATTAGGCTTCAGATAAACAAAATCAGACATATCAGACTGCTTTCTGTGCTGACGTCAATTGAGTGATTTAATATAATATTTAAATTCTTTCCAAAATAAAAAAAAAAATATGCTTTATTACAAATTTAAAAGCATGAATCATGGGATAATGACCTCACCCTAATTTGCTTAATTATCACTCATAATTTAGCCATTTAGTTTATTTAGGATTGAAACTTTGACAATGTGAGGATCTTTAAAGCTGCAGCCATCTGTAGACCAAAAGTCAAGAATACTATATTCTTTAATCTCTAAATTAGGGATGAATGTAAACTCATGGTTTACACACACAAGAAAATACTACACATCTCTCAATGTATATACCTGTTACACCATTCGTTGTTTATGTTACCATTTATTATCTATATAATTACCTCTACACTGTGGTTATGACTTGTGATTACACCCCTTGTGTATTTTCTACGGTATTCTTGTATAATGATAACATGACTACGATACTGGAGTACTGGTTGTACACTACCCGGGTTGCACATTCCTAGCATTTTCCATGTGAATTAATTCTTCTGTAGTATCTGCCTTGATGCTATCATGCCAGAAACTATCATGCCAGAAGCTGTCATGCCAACAAGTAGTAGTTAAACTAGCATGTAGTTTTCTTGCTTCAGTAATGTCTATTTGCCTCCTAATATTTTATGAAAAATGTTCCCATCATTAGTATGTGTAAAGTTATATATATAATATACCCTGTATATGAAATATGTATAATGTACTGTATAGTTTCTCACTTAGAAAAGTCATAGTTCATACTGCCAAGTAATATAAATTCCCTTGCACTGATTTTTTCAGCAACACCTTAGCTTCAGAGACTGAAATTTTGCTTGTTCAGTATACACACTTTAAATCAAACTGCATGTAGAATGATAGAAGTTTGATGCGCATATTTTGAGTTTGACTGCATTACCTTTGGAAATTTGTGCTTTATGAGGAAGAGATGTTAAAAGCGGGTGGGATATAATGCTGGAATAGTTGATGTGGTTGCTCACTTGATGCAAGAAAAAAAGGGAAGGTATCATAGAATTAGCAGAGAGCATCCATAGTTCCCTTGTATAAGGAGAAAAGGGGACAAGAGAGAGTATAAGAATTATAGGAGCATAAGCTTGTTGAGTATACGAGGTATAGTGTATGGTAGAATTATTATTGAAAGGTTTGGGGTTTGGATTGCAGAGGAGCAGAGAAGATTTAGGAAGGGTAGGGAATGTATAGATTAAGTGTTTTATCTGGAAGTGTGTAAGTGAGCTGTTTGTCACATTGTTGGATTTAGAAAAGGCTAAAGATAGGGTGGATAGGAAGCCATATGGCCAATGCTGCAAATGTTTGGAGTAGGATGTAGTTTACTAAAAGCAGTTAAGAGTTTTTATGCCGAGAGTCAGGAAGGAGGGGAATTATTATCAAAATAAGACTTAGACAGGGATGTGTGATGTTACCAGGGTTCTTTATTATATTTATAGATGGGATTGTAAAAGAAGTGAATACCAGGCAGTTGAGGAAGGTGAGGGATTAAAAGATGTTGGATCTTCTACAAAGTGAGTGTTTTCACAGTTGCTCTTTACTGAGGATACAGTTCTTTTGGGGGATTCTGGAGACAAGTTGTAAATGTTGGTGTATGAATTTGGGAATGTATGTAAAAATGAAAATTAAAAGTGAGCATAATGAAGAGCAAGGTGACAAGGATAACAAAAAAATAATCTAGGCAATGAAAGATTGAATATCAAATTTGATGGAGAGAGAGTATGGAGGATGTGGATGTGTTTAGATTTTTGAGAGAGGACATATCATCAGATGGGTCTATGAAAGATGAGGCGAACCATAGAACAGATGACAGGGAAAAACTGATTGTGTGTTGAAGTATGTATCTAGAAAAGTAAGAAGTTTATCGATGGAAGCAAAAAAAAACAAAAAAAGGGAATGTACCAGTGTATATGGGTGTGAACCATGCGTTTTGAATCCTGCAGCAAGGAGGCTGGAGTCAGCGGAGATATCATATTTGAGAGTAATGTGTGGTGTGAATATCATACAGTGAATTCAGAGCGTAGAAATTACAAGGCGATATGGGGTCACCAAGGGTATAATTCAGAGAGCAGAGGAGTTGATGAGGTGATTTGGACATGTAGAGAGGATGGAGAGGGATGGGATGACAAAGATAGTGTAGGTCTGGGGTGGATGGTAGGGGGATAGGAGTCAACCCAGTAATAGTTGAAGGGGGTAAAAGAGGCCGAGTTTTAGGGGCTTGATTATTCAGCAGGCTTATGGGAGCATGTTAAACAGAAATGAATGGCTTCAAGTGGTTGCCAATGATTATACTGTTGGAGTGGGCTGACTTCACAGGTTAGATTGCCCTCCAGTTGCAACATCACCCCTGCAGAGTGTGGGTGCTGTGTACATACATACAAACACACACATGTACATATGTACACACTTATAAACTCAAGATAAGTCATAATGAATGGCTGCCAATAAACCAAAAAAAAATGGATGCGATCTTGAACTAAGGATGCCAAGCCCATGATGATTCTTTTCAAATTGCTTGTTCTCTCTAGGCTGGAATATTGCTGTACATTAACTGCCCCCTTCAAGGCAGGCAAAATTGCTCACCTGGAGAGTGTACAAAGAACTTTCATGGTACACATAATTGCGATAAAGCTCCTAAATTACTGGGCCCTTGATTTGTATTCCCTGGAATGCAGGCAAGAACGATACGTGATAATATTCACTTTGAAAATCCTAGAGGAATTAGTACCAAACTTGCACACGAAAATCACTCTCTATGAAAGCAAAAGACTCAGCAGGAGATGCAACATTCCCCCACTGAAAAGCAGGGATGCCACGAGTACACTGAGAGACAACACAGTAAGTGTCCAGGGCCCAAGACTTGTCAACTGCCTCCAGCATACCTAAAGGGGGATTACCAAGAGACCCCTGGCTGTCTTCAAGAAGGCATTGGACAAGCATCTAAAGTCAGTACCTGACCAGCTGGGCTGTGGTTCGTACATCAGTTTGCATGCAGCCAGCAGTAACAGCCTGGTTGATCAAACCCTGATCCACCATGAGGCTGACCTCAGACTGAGCTGCAGGGGCGCTGACCCCCGAAACTCTCTCCAGGTAAACTCCAGTTAATCCATTGTCCGTGCACATAGCAGGTTTAACACTGTAACTGCTCAACCAGAGCTTACAATACAATGATTGTATGACCAGCACTTCTGTGACATAGTTGTATCAGCAGCACTAGCTGTGACCCTACTATCACACCTCACAGCTCCAGAAGCTTTTATGTTGCATTTATTCTTATACACCTCAGTGTCATGTAGTCCATAAACTTAAAGTCATACTGTGGTGAGTAACTCTCAGTGAATAAACAGAAGAATGGAACTTGATCCAGGTTACATAGCTCTTGTCATATAGTTCCAGTAGAGGATAATAATAATAGTAATAATATTCTTCATTTCTACAAGTACATGATACAAATTATACTGACAATAGCTGACATGAGTGACATACTATATAGTCTCTGATTATGCAGAGCATTTTGGGCGACTTAGGTTAATTTTGTCTCCAGGATGTGACCCACACCAGTCGACTAACACCCAGGTACCTACTAACTACTAGGTGACTAGGGACAGCAAGTATTTTAAGGAAACATGCCCCAATGTTTCCACCCATACTGGGGATTTAACCTCAGACATTAATGTGTGAGCTAAGCACTCTACCAACCGAGCTACCAAATTTGGTTACTTACTTAACTACAGAGCAAGTGGATTGCTTCTAGTCAGTGCATCATCAAATCCAAATTCAGCAAAAGGAATATTGCAGCCATCTTCCTTGCTGAACAAAATACAAACCAGTCTCTCTGATATAGCATTATATTTAGCATTTAATTTAGCCTCTGTGGTAATGGGTAAATTATTATAGCTAGATTTAATAGCTGAGATATTAACTAAATTATTGTCTCAGTGTAGAGGACAAGGGTGCAAGACCTATTGAGGATTGTGAAAGCAAAGAATAATTTTTCTATAATGAATATTTAAATCCTTCACCATTTTCTGGCATAATCTACACAGCTTAATGTTCTGGTCTTCCTCTACTGCTCCCTCTCTCTCATTTATAATAATAATAATAATAATCTTTATTTCTACAAGTACATGATACAACTTATACAGACCATAGCTGACATCAGTGACGTACTCAGTAGAAAACCCCTAGTTATGCAGACCATTTTGGGCAACTTTATGTTTATTCTTTTCTTTATCACTAGCATGCACAACAGTTGTAGAATTACAGAACATATTGATATATCTCCATAATAATTTGAAATTTGATGTATTTGTAAATACTGCCTTGAATAGATATTTTCTTGTTTACTTGTGGCTTCACTTTTAAACAAACATAGACCAATGAGGAGGCAGTGTGGACTGATAAGAGTTGTACATGAATGATATACAGTACTGACAAGATGAAGAATCATACACGTGCAACATCTGGGTACTTTTCTTTGTAGATGTTTCACCATTCAGTGGCTTGATCAATACAGATTCATTATGTCTTTGAATTTGTATTGATAAAGCCACTGGA